ATTGACCGACAGCTATCACAACCAGGAACATGGGTGGGTAGGGACAAGCGTCAGAAAAGGAATGGTCTTGAAAGGGTGAAAATCAAGGCAATAGTTTCCAAGATGGCATCAAAGGAAAAAAAATGAATAATGATGTGACTGTTTCAAGTTTTGTGCTAATCATTGTAGGAAGTGGCCTTCAAAGTGTTAGCTACATTCCCAAGGCCATAGTAAAGACTGCTTAGTCTCTCTCTTCTACCCTGCCTCTTCCCCAGACAGAAAATCTGTTAGGCTTCTGCCTGAGCAATGCATTTTCTTTAATGCTCTACTCCTGCATCCAGAGCACACTGGCTAGCTGCATACGCCATTAGGGAATATGGAAAATGGTAAAATGCCAGAGGAATAACTTTATTTTTTGTACCAAAAATCAAACTCAGGACTTTGTGCTTGCCAGGCAGGCTTGTGTCTCTGAGTTATATCCTCTAGTCTCGGAACAACTCTTCTAAGGTGTGTTCAGAAAGAATGCTGTATTTGAGGACAATGCCAAAATTTCAGCGCTCTGTTCTGTAAACTTTCAGAAAGTCTCTTTTGTTTGCTCTGTAAGCAAGAATATGTGATACTAGGGTTCAAAGAGTTATTGCTTGCTGGTAATACTAGATCAATACTAAAAATAGAACATAAGCCTATTGGGCTTAAGGATCAGGAACACTTGAAAATAAGCCTTTGTGTTAAATTGTCCAGTTAACTTCTGAAATGAAAATGACAGCAGTCTGTATGACTGCTGCAGTTCTAAGTTACAGAAAGAGGTCTCTAATGAAGTCACCCTATTTTGTTGCCTCCCTTCCCCCCAGATTCTTAATTAACAAACCTATGAAGAAGAAGTAGAAAGAAACATGATCAAAGGTTGGGTCATTGATAAAACATTATAAATTCTGTTATTTTTGTATCAGGATCGAACTTACGACCTCGCGCTTGCCAGGCAGGCACTTATGCCGCTAAGCTAAATCACTGGCCTATAAATTACTTTTGTAATGCTATACTTCTGAGTTAAATCTTCTTTTTTAATGAAATAGTTTCACTAATGTTATAAATACTAAATAGCACAAAATTTTTGGAGAATTAGAAAAACCCAATTTTGAAGTATCACGAGTCATCCTTGAAAATAATTTTTTTCTTTGTTTAGAAATGTCCATGCTGACTGATCAGTATAACTGAGTATCCAACTTACTGTTAGCAATAATTTCTTTTCAGACATGTAGGTAACTGTTTGAAATCACTAATGAAAAAAAGGCCATTTTCTAGCAAATAAGCCAAAAGCAAAGTCATTTTCTTGGTTAATTTTAGACTTTATTCATAAAAAGCCAAAATAGTTTAAAAGAAAAACATTCAAAGGACTTTTTCTTCTTTCACAGAATTGACCAGTTGTTTGACACAGAATAAAGGTCCTAGGAGTTCAGCAAAACAGTATACAACCCCTTCATATGTACTGCACTGAGCAACATACAACCCTGGACACAGAGAAGCAGGTCAATCTGGTAACAGTAGACATTGATGTACAATCTATTACAAAAAAGAAAAGGAAATGATTGATCAATTAATACACATGAAACAAAATCTTTTGATTTTGTCATTTTACAAGTGAAATATATTGCCTATTTTTTCAAAGATAACCCATAGCTCGGTTTGACTATAGTCTAATATGGGCTTTACAACAAAATCAAAACACCATGGCATGTGTATTAGAAAAGGTACCACACACACCTCTTTTCACTAAAAAGCACTGTTCTAAAGTGGAGAAGCAGGCAAGCTTAATCCCTATAAATAGACCATTAAATTGGTACACATTTTTTGGATGGCAGTTCTGATCAAAACTTTTAACTGTGCACACCTTTGACATAGCTTTTCCACTTGTGGAAATTTAGCCTAAGAAATTACTTGTATAAGAACATAAGGATACCGTATGTGAGACTAGATAAAACATTTCAGCTCATTCATAGAATGCAATGATAGAGAGGCTTAAAAAGCATGTAAAAAAATCTAGATATCCTGACACCTTGCACTGTGTTCAAGTAAAACATACTATAGAACTTAACAGCATTTTAACATTAATAGCATTATCCTAATAAAGAAAACCATATAAGTTATCTATGTACAGAAGCATGTAACAGGATATATATTCAATACTTCTGGGGAATAGTCTTGTGGAAAAAGGGAGTATTTTCACATTTTGCTTATATATTGTTGTATATTTAATTTTGTACAATGACCATATACACTATTAGTTTTCTAAAATTCATGTAGCACACTCACCCTTTTAAGTGTGTAATTTCCTGGTTTTTAAAGTATATTCACAAAGCTGTGCAGTCATCAAACACTAATTCCAGATGTTTTATCACCCTCAAAAGAAACCCTAAGCCTGGTAACAGTCACTCTTTTCCCATCTCTGTAGCCACTGGGAATCAGTAACCTGTCTTCTGTCTCTTTGCATTTCTCTCTGGAAAGTTCATAAAAATGGAGCCCTATCATATGTGACCTTTCATATCTTCCTTTTTGTATAATGTTTTCAAGATTCATCCACATTGTAGTATGTTCCAGTAATTTAATCTTTTTCATGATGTTACTTTTATAAATAAGAAATCTATAAACAGTTCTGATTTTAAAAATATGCAGAAACACATATTACCTTCTGTAAAAATCACTTTATAGAAACTCAAAGACAGATCTAAATCCAGTGCCCATATTATGCGAGTTTATTTGGGTCTCACCATTCCTAATGCTCTCTTAAATATCTAGTCTCTGAGGACCATTTAAAAGGCTACCCCCTCAAACAGTATTCTTGTTTTCATATATGCCTTTTTGCTACAATATTATCAGTCATAAGTAGACCTAGTTAGTTCTTTTTCCAGCTGCCTTTTATCTTTCCTAACCCCCCACCATCATAGTAAACGAAGCAACACAGATATAGCCAAAGTCATAATTTGGAAATTTTGTGGATCTATTGTCTTTTGACAAGGAACCAGTGCTGGGTGGTTGACTTTAGTACACTAAGCATATGCAGAACATGTCTCCTAAAGGGTAATATTTTCAGATGCCATCAGTAACATCACAGAAATTGGTACTTTGTATTTTTCCTCTTCTGAATAAAAATCAAGAATATTTTCTAAACCAGGCATGATGGTACATGCCTGTAACTCCAGTTACTCTGGAGACTGAGGCAGGAGAATAATGAGTTCAAGGCCAGCTTGGGCAACTTATCAAGATCCTAAGGGAAAAAGAAAGGCTAGAGATAAAGCTGAGCACTCCCTAGGTTTAATCTCTAGTGCCACACACAAAAAAGAACATATTTTGGCCTTCTATCTTTAGTAATATTACCTTATTATCTGAACAAGTCAAAGTTATGTAACATTAGTTGATACAAAAAAGAGCACTTTGCCTTCACAATTGAAGACTCTAAAATATAAATGTAAGATGAGTTTATTTTCTCTTAAAAAGATAGACTGGCCATTTTCGGGCCACAGAATTTTGCTTTGTAATGACCTCATTGATTTCTAGGGACTACAGTTAGTAGAACAATAAGCCAACTGTCATGGTTGGTTTATTTATGGTTTTTTGTTTGCTTGTTTTGAGACAGAGTCTTGCTCTATAATTCAGGCCAGGATTGAACTCGCTATGTAGACCAGGCTGGCTTTGAACGTGCAGTGATCCTTTTGCCTCAGCCTTCCAAATGCTGAGGTTACAGGTATGTACCACCATGCCCAGCAATCAGCTGTCATAGATTTCATCAGCTAAAGAAATCCACATTAATTCCCCATCTCCGTATTTTTATTGGGGCAATTCAAATGAAACCTAGTAGTGGATTTTAAATATACACATGCATGCATGTACTATTTGATAGAATTTGTGGTAAAAGCATACCATCCTATGTTCCTACATGGATCAGAACCTGTTAATTGATATTTTCTTCCCCTCTGAGGAAGAACATGGATTAGGAATTATGTATAGAATAAATGTATTCCACTAATTAAAGCTTCTTTTGTGGTTTTAGGGCTTGACTTCAGGGCCTTTCCACAGAACTTCATCCCCAGCCCTTCTTTTTATATTTTTATTCTGAGGGTCTCACTTTATCACTAAGTAGTCTGCTTAGTTCTGTACAAACCACTTTATAGAAACTCAAAGACAGCTCTAAATACAGTGACCATATCCTGGGCTGAGGTTAAACTTGCAATCCTGTTGCCTCAGCTTCCCTGAGTGCTGGGATTACAGGCATGTGTCACCATGCCTAGCTCATTAATTAAAATTTTGGTTTTTAGGGGCTGGGGATTTAGCTCAGCGGCATAAGCACCTGCCTTGCAAGCAGGTAGTCGTGAGTTCGATCCCTGGTACCGATAAAAAGGAAAAAGACCAAAAAGAAAAAAAAAATTATTTTTTGGTTTTTGCCCTGAATACGATAAACTTCGATATAGGAACACTGTAGCAAACTGTCCATATAAGGGGAGTAAATACTAAGTGTATGAAATGGAATCCCTTTATGGCATACTAATCCTTCAATTCTTTTTTCTGTCAGATGAACTGCACAAGGAGTTTTGATGTGTTGATTTTTTTTATCAGTACCAGGGATCAAACTCACAACTGCCTGCTTGCAAGGCAGGCACTTATGCCGCTGAGCTAAGTCCCCAGCCCTGATGTGTTGATTTTCAAAATCACTTTCCAACTAGGTTCCAGAATTCCTGATTTAAGCTGTAGATATCTGAACCACATACTGGAAAAACCAAGATATAATGCAACTCTGCTGAATGTAAAAGACTACCATTCACTGCCATAATAAAAATTTTAATATTGTAAAACTTTAAACTGAATTCAAACACACTTTTTCCCCCTCCCATACTTGTTTATTTCCACAAATTCTTAAACTATGCCAGGCATTTTCACCTTGGAATAAAGCAAGATTAAAAGGAATATAATACTACTGTTCTACTCAAATAAACTTCATTATACATTTTCACAAAAAAGACATACAAATATGAAAGTCATAACTCATTTATTGAATGAATAGTATATGCAAGAATACCAATAAAAGGAAACTAATACTACAAACTACAATTTTGAAAATAAAGCCAATATAACAAGAACAAAATATACATAACATGAGAGGAATGTTTGATTTTTGACCCATGATGCATTCCTTATCTTTACAATTAATCTAAATGTCTGTTAAAACAAACTATACCTTGGTCTAACCTCAGTGCTTTTTAAAAAAGCAACAACACTCTAGAAAACTTTTTCCTTTGCTTTGAGATATTTGAGATTCACGCATTTGTTCAAGTACATAGATTCTGATTTAATAGTAGATTGACAGATCTTATTATTCTCTTAGTATCTTGAGTAGCACGTCATTCTGAGCAAGTATTATCTGAAATTCTAAAATTGCTAATCCTTGAAATAAAATTCATTTCAGTTGTGGGTTTTTAATAAATTGAGATGAATGTAAAAATCCCCCCCTCACCTCCCCCCAGGAACAAACAGTTGTTATTAAAGTATAGAAACTCAAGTCTATCTTTCTACTCTAAAGAACATTTCTTACTAACATTTCTGGTAAGGCAATAAATGCTCCAGAATAATCTTCAATATATGCTTGCAAAGATTACACTGTTTAATAACAACAACAACAACAACAACAACAAAACAAAAAGAAAAAAACAAAAGAAAGAAAGAAAAGACACTTCAAAATTTTAGGCTAAAATATGCATAAAAGACAGCAATGGCAATATTTTTTGGAAATGATGTAAATGTCATATACTTATCAAATAATGTCATGCTTATTAAAACTACAGTTAAGGACTTAAGAGATGTACAGTAAATACACTGCTGAGGTCCATTTATCTAAATATTAATACCACAATGTAATTACTACCCAGAAGATGATGATACTACTTGGGAACATAAGTACTGTACAATTTTTACATTGTAAGGCACTTGTACTCAGCATGTGATGAAAAATGGATAATCAAAACATTGTAGGCTTACAACCAAAGATGACCAAAGATGATTTTTCATGTGACTTCAATTTGTATTTCAATTAATGAACAATTATTCAGCCAATCACACCACAGTGAAAAAAACAGGTAGTCAGCCACTTATCTAGCCAACCAAAAGGTAAAGTGCTATTCTGGTTGCTAGTGGCAGGGAAAGAGCTGAAGAAACCCATACACAGTCACGTATTTTACTACACAACAAACTTATCAACTGACAGCTGTAGTATTTGAAGTCTATTATATAATTATTGACTGGCCATGATTACCCCTGGCACCTTCTATTTTTCCTTAAAAATATTCATTACAGTAGTTGTCCAAAAATGAAGGAGTTCTGTTTCTCCATGGGTAAGTTCTATGGCACACAATGTAAAAATGACCTAGACACAGTGATTTAAAGATTTAAGAAAAAATGGTTTTCAAGCTGTTGCAGAGAAATAAAGTACAGATCCTTTGGAAAAAGTCACATAGCTTGGTAAACAAACATTTAGATCTGTCCTTGCACTTCAAGTCATGAATTCTGAAAATTAATCACATACACATGATGGCATATTAAAAGCAAAAAGAAAACATAGAGGGCAATCCACTACTGAAGACAGTTTCCTTCTAAAAATAACAAGAAAGATGGTTAAAATAAAGCAAGCATTTAGTCCCTTGATTGAAGTAAATGTGTGAATACACACTTGACAAACGTGTTCTTAAGGGACTAGCAGTTTAAAAATTCAGTCACTAAGCACAGTGTAATTTTTCACTTAGTACATTTAAAAATGCTGTTCTATCAGCTGCAGAATATCTCAATGTAGTCAAGTTAACATGATTTTTTTATTTCCAACTCTGCTTTATTGTGGTAGGTTAACTAATAATTCAGAAATCAGAATCCGCATCCTTGGTATTGAGGTGCTATGGTAGTATTAGGCAGACCACAACTAAAGCTTTTTGGTTTTGCCATAAAGAAATACATAAATGTGCTTCAGCAGTAAGTGGAAGAAAATGTCACTAGCGAGAAATGCCAGTGTGAAAATCCTTTCTAAATAGCTGGGTTCTTCGGCTTTAAGAAACAATTCTGATGATCAATAAAACAACGCCGAGCCCTACCAGGAAAAAAGCAGGGCAGAAAACACTATTTAATAGATAACCAAACAATGACAGAAAACATTAAAAATATTAAATAAGTTTCTAAAATAGTGGTCACAAAATTAAAAATAAATACTGCTTTATGTGAAGACTGTTTTTTACTTCTACAGCACACGAAACCTCCTTACACATTTTGAGCCAATATGTGAAGTGTTCCACACAACGGGGCATTTGAGAGAAATGGGTTTCAGATGTGGTGTCTAACGTTCTTAGCAGGTAGTAACCCTTTAAATCTGCAAGAGGTTTAATTTGCTGTTGCCAAATATTGGTTTAAACTGGAAAGGATTCAATCATTTTGCCAGAAGCTTTTTGCATGACATGGAAAGAGAAGTGTATTGTCATGAGAATTTTGGCATAAGCACTGGAGCTTGCAGCTCATAATCGCCAGCTGCCCAAGTCCATGCTGGTCAGTGAGAACAACTCTGCCAGGAAACCAAATAAAAAGCTTCAGCACACTTCTTGGAAGAGACTTTTAGTATGTGTTCTCAAAGCTAAGATAAAAAGCAGGTTCTCTTCATTTTTAGCCTCCATTACTTGAGTGCAAAAAAAATTCACAAACTACCATGTGTTGCCACCAGAGGCATGTTTGCATTGTAAAGTAAAATTTGCTTACATTTCCCTTGAGCATGATCCACTAAACAAACTTAGGGTTAATAGTGTTTCAATTGCTTCCCAGAAACTGCACACTACAGCTATGTAATATCGAAATGTCAAACTCAGCCGTCTAGAGAAAACTCATGAAACAAACAAGATGTTTTTAGGCAGTTCAGTGAAGGATCTAAGAGTTGGGCAGTAAAAAGTTACAAACCCTTTTAGAAAACAGTGAAAAAGAATAGTAGTTATGGATGTCTTATTCATTCCCAGTTTTCTAACTCTGTCCCATGAACCTGTTTAAAAGATGATAAGAAAATGTAAAATATGATGCTTGAGGGAAATACAATCAACATAATGTTACTGAGGAGTGAGAATATCTTACTGATTTGACATTGTAACTACATTTATTGATAAAGTAGATAGTTTGGTTTTATGGTTACAAAACTGGCTAGTCAAAAAAAAAAAAAAAAAAACTACACAAGCCTATATAATCCTCAGCATTCTGGTAACATGCTCTTAACTAAATACTTTAAGGTTTAAAAAAATCTTATTGTATACCATTACTGTATCATGTATTTATCAGTGAGTATTAGATCCTGACCACAGATCCCATATAATTAACGTTCATACCTAGTTTCCATTAAGTTGCTGCTGAGCTTGCTGCTGATCAATTTCCACTTTTCCTCGGCTTTTACTCTCTCGTTCCTCATCTTCTTCATCTCTCTCATCATTTCCACTATGGTTTTTACAATACAGTCTACAATGATGAAAGACATTGTCGATGAGAATACATCTGTGTTAGCATTAGCAGATGAGGCTGGTGCCCATATAAAATATGGGTTTCCTCATTCACATTTAAAAACACCCCACAATCAATTAAAGTTCCATTTCTATCTGAAAGATAGGAAACTATACCATTACTAAGATTACAGAAGTTCATTTGGAATAAAACCTCTAGTTAAATACAGCAGTTATCATAAAGGCAATTCTCATTTTGCCCAGTAAGAGTAAAGCCAGGTTTTCAGTCAACTTAAAATATCAATTTTTGGCGTAATGAAATAATAAGAATTCTATAAATTCACTTTATGTACACAATTTACAATCACATTTCAAGAAATACAGTCTATATATATTTTACTTGCTATTCACATTCTGTAAAACAATTTTACTCATACTCTTCAAATGCCCTTTCATCATCACTGTACTGGCCTTCTTTAGAATACATTCCTTCATGCATCATCCACATTTTCCAAACTGCATTCAGTTCTGTCTCTCTCAAGCTAGACTGGTCCCTCCAACTTCTTTTTGTCTCTCGACACTGACTTTTTTGGATGAGACCAGGCCAGAGAGCTTACCAATTGAACCACACTGTGGATTTTCTACTACAGTTTTGTTTCTCTTCTCAAATTTTTTTAAACTGGGAATAAGGCTTATGGGCTTGGTTAGCTTTAGGTTCAACTTGTATATATGTTCAAACAGCTCCATTATTAGTGAGCCTATGCTTAGTTGATTGGTTAAGGTGGTAGTGACGGATAGATTTTGTCTTTAAAACAAGAAAGTGATTCCTGTAGTGACTCATTGGCAACATGTTTTTCCAACTTTTTATTTGGATATATACACTGTACTTTTGAAATTTATTAAGTTTTTAATAAAAATAGTACTGAAGGTGGTTTGCGATAATCAGAAAAAGGTGGGCTGATTTGAACTCAATGTCAAGTCAACTGTACATAAGATGATAGAACAACTCTTAGAATATGTTCATTGCTGGCCCTCTTGTGGTCAGCAGTGGACAGAAGGCTCTACAGGAATTTACCTGTCACAAATAGATTGTGTAATCCAGAGGGAAATAAAGAATAAAAGGCAAGAGTGGGGTTGGGAGTACCATCATAACAATTAAATTCAATCTAGTTTCATTCATTATTTTAGAACCTTAAAACATTTTCATTAGCTTTCAAAAAGCCATGGAGAATTTATACTTTTTAAATGTTCTACCTTGGGAACTACCTTTTTTTAAAAAAAATCATGATTTTAAATATTAAGAGATTCCTATGTAGTGTCATCTATGAAGCATCTTCTCAAAAATATAACCCAAATGAAATTAAACATTTGAACCAACTTACAGTTTACACAAAATATGGGGCGAGAGGCTGGGGATAAAGCTCAGCAGGACAGTGCCTGCCTGGCAAGTGCAAGGTCATGAGTTCGATTCCCAGTAACACCACCACCACCACCACCAACAACAACAACAACAAAAATCGGTAGAGGAGGGAGAGAGTTAAAGATACAAGATAAACAGCATCACAAAATAGCACACAGGCAAGTATAAAACATGACAGTTACGGGACAACTTACTGGAGTATTTCAAGAAAGAGAATGTCAGGAGTGGGGTGGGTATGGTTCCATTTTAAAACAGACTTAAGAAATGGTAAATGCCGTGCAGGGATCTCATAAATATTCAGATTTGAATGTATCAAGTCTAAAAAGCCATTTACAAGACAACTGAGGAAATGCAAAAATGGACTGGGTATGATAGGATGTTAAGAAATAACTGTTCACATTATATCCTGTGATAATGAGATAGTGATTATGTAAGAAATATCTCTTCGGGGAAGGTGGCACCAGGAATTGAACCCTAGGCCTTCAATGAGCTACAACCTTGACCCTTTAAAAATTATGTTTTACTTTGAGACAGAGTCTTGCTAAATTGCTAAGTCACCCAGGCTGAGTTTGAATTTGTGATCCTAACTCAGGCTCCCAGTGTGCTAGGATTACAGGCATGTGCCACAACACCCAGAAAAGAAATATCCCTGTTTCTAAGTATTGAAGTACACAGGGATAAAATGACAAGAGATTTTGCTTTAATAAACTTTTGGGGCAAAAACACAATACATGACACAGCTGTGGCAATAACTAAGTAAACGGAATAGGAAAGTTGTTATACTACTCTATTTCTGTGTATATTTGGAAATCTTTTTAATAAAGAGTTTCATCTAAAAGGATAAGTCCTTGGTTGTCGGAATAAAGTTTTAATCTTTCTATGGGATTTTCACCTGTGAAATATATCTCATAGTCCCTTACGTGCTCTTCACTTGTCTAAGGCATTAAGGTCATAGGTGTCGAACTGAGCCAACAAGAACTCTGCAACAGCACTCACATTTTATGGTAGGAGACCGACATTTTAGAAGTTTATTTTAAATAATTTTAAAATTTAGTAAAGATAAAAATCAGGATATACAAAAATAAAATCCATTATATATTCTTCTCATCCCTTTTCAAATACGATTAAGTCAAGATCTAGAAAGGGCTGGTAAGGAAGGAAAGTCACATTTAGAAGACAGAAAAGCCAAGGCATTCAGAAATATCCCTCCTGCTCTTTCCTTCTATTTGTCGGTTCCTCTCTCCCTAAATTATTTGCATATAAATTCTTATTTGAATTCTATGGTCTATCTGCAGCCACACTGAAAGCAGATTTAAGAAATACGTTTCTATTATTTTGCGCTTTAAAGACAGGGTCTCACTATGTTGCCCAAATTGGCCCCAAACTTGCTATGTAGTCTGGGCTGGCCTTAAACTTGCGATTGTCCTACCTCAGCCTTCTGAGTGCTAGGATTACAGTGTACATCACCACACTCAAGAGTAAGAAACACAATGATGCAGAAAAAAAAGCAATTCAAATTATCATGGATCCTAGCATGAATATTTTTATTCAGAGATGCTCACTGAAACATTTTTTAAAATACTTAAAAAGTAAAATTAATGTAAATGTCTAAAGTAAGAAAACAGACTATTAAACCATACATGTAAGAAAATTCTGCCAGTTGTGGTGGCTCATGCCTGGTATTCCAGCATTCAGGAGGCTGAGGAAAGAGGATTCCTGCAAATCTGAGGCCAGTTTTTTTTATTTTTTTTCGAGACAGGGTCTCACTATGTAGCTTAGACTGGCCTTGAACTCACTATTCAGCCCAGCTGCCCTTGAACTCAGCAATCCTCCTGGATCATCCTCCCAAGCAAATAGGATTACAGACATGTGCCACCATACCCAGCTGGGATACATAAGAGTGAGAAAAAGGCCAGCAGCCTGAATTACATAGCAGGATCCTGTCTCAAACAAACAGAACTAAAAAAGAAAACTCCCTGTGTTTATACATTTAAACAAATGTCTAGAAGAAACATTCCAAAAGATTTAAAATTGCTATCTCTAGGAGGTAGAATTATTTTACTTTTTATTTTTTGGTACTGGGAATCAAACTTGGGACCCTGTGCTTGCCAGGCAGGCACTGTGCCACTGAGTCATATCCCTGGCCCAAGGTGGTAGAATTAAAATTGACACTAACTTTTTGTTGGTTTGTTCTGACACAGGGTCTCACTCTGTAGTCCAAACTGGCCTTGAATTCTTGATCTTCCTGCCTCGGTCTCTGAAGTGCTGCAATTGTAGGCATATAACACCATGCCTGACTAACTTTTCAATCTTAACTAATTTTCCAGTTTTTTCAAAATGAAAAAAGGTAACTATAATATCTAAATAGAGATAAAATTTAAAGCAACAATTCTTCACACAGTCAGACTGTAGATGTTTAAAATGGGCTTATTTTCAAATAATGGCTAATAATGGACTGCTTGTGGAAATATTCATACACCACAGAATTGTCTCCTGGAGCAGTATGAAAACGGGCTCTTCTCTGGCATCCTGACAAAACTAACAACAGGTAACAATGCTGAGTTTGTTGAATGTGTTTCTAAAGCTATTCCTACAGATATAAAAACACACATGTGGAATGGCGTCCTAAGGAAGAGTGAGTAGAATGATGGTGGGTCACCTGGGGTCCTGATGACATCTGGGAAACTCTGTCTTCCATCTACTCTTTTCCTCTGGTGTCTTTATGTAAAAAGTAACTATCTTGTGTAAGCTATTTTTCTCATTATATAAAGCACATATAACCATTAAAAATAGAAAATTATACTGTTTGCTCTTCTGCATTAAACCATCAAAAATTTTGGATTTGATGAAAATTATACCAATTTATAGATTAATTTGGTGAGAATAGGTATCCTTCAGTGCTGCATGATTCTATTAAGGAACATAATATATTTCACCATTCATCTGTGTCTTATAAAGTACATTTTTTAAAAGGAAAGGCTTACTATCTGTGGGATGCATGCACACATGTGTGCATGTACCTGTGCAGGCAGGCAGAGGGAATGACCATTTCTCCTTTACATTTTCTCTAAACAGTTAATTTTAAGTCATCTCATTCTACGGCATAAGTGAGTATTCAATGATTTTACTAAGTTAATGACCATTTTATTTATTATACAGTTTTTTTTTCATTGATGGGAATGGAACCCAAGGCCTCTTTAATATTGGACGAGGTCTCTACTACTGAGCTATGTCTCCAACCTGCCCCTTTCTTGTTGCACTAGCTTAACTTTCCCAAAAAAACCCACTGGAAATCATGTTAGTAGCTCATCTAATGAAAGTGGATTTAGTCTAGTGGCTCAGTTAGAGATGAACATGAGAATTTCTGGAGACTCATCAAACAAGGGTTAGGGTTCAACCCAGACCTACTGAATTTACATCTCTGTGAATGAGGCCCAAGCACACACCATTTCCAGAGAGGACTCCAACTACCCTCAGGGATACTGAGGCTCACTCCTAGATAAAAAACAATGCTTCTTTAGTTCAATATTAAACAAACTATTTCTGTTTTCTCTTACACATCCACTAAGTTTCCTAGCTTGCCAGGCATGGTGGCATATGCCTACAGTCCCAAGTAGTCCACAGGGCGAAGCAGAAGGATCGTAAGTACAAGTCTAGCCTGAGCAATTTGGTAAGGCTCTATTTCAAAATAATTTTTTTTAAAAAGGGCTGGGGATGCACCACAACACCCCCTGGGTTCAATCCCTGGTGATAGCAAAACATTTCCTAGTTTACCAAAGTACTCTTACTGTGGTATTTTAAGATCCAGAAACGGATGTTTACTGAATATTATAGAGTATTTCTTTACCATTCATGGGGAAGGTTTTTTCCTTTATTAACTACAACAGAACACATTAACTAGTTTTGGGTATCTTTAAATTCTTGGATTACAGAGCTGAATTTGACTTGCCAGTATTTATTTCAATTTTTGTGTATTTATAAAAGGAAGACTGGCATAGTCTTTGTTTTTTTATCTTGTTCAGGTTTGATACCACAAGTATGCATGCTTTACAGAATGAGCCAAGATTTCCATCTCTTTGTGCTAGATCTCCTCAAATATTTTATACTGGAATTATTTGTTCCTTAAAAACTTGACACAACTCCCTTGAAAAATATTTGTGCCTTTACAATTAAACAAAATTTGGTAAATTTTACAATAGCTCTAGCATCTGATGCAGGTACCCAAAGGATCTGATGACAGTGTAAATTGTTTTTTACATAGAGTTAACACAAAAGTTACTGGCTCACTGCATACTAGACATGTGAGAATATGGAAATGGTTTACCACTTGTAAAGGTCAATTAAATTTCAGAGAGCCTTCCCAAATTATACTCTACTTGATTAAACAAATGGAGCCATTACAGATATACATTGTAATACCAGCCCAAGGAAGCAGAGTAAGTGGAAGAACCATGAAAAGGACAGTGTCACGCAATTCTGAAACTCCACACCCTTAGTTTTTGTGGTGCTGGAGGTCAAACTGAGGAACTTACACATGCTAGAGAAGTGCTCTACCACAAAGCTACACCTCCAGCATCTTCAAATCCTGCACTTCCATCATCTTGGTTTCGATCTTCAGTTGTCTTCTAACTCATCTCATCACATCCTCTTAGTTTCTGTCCCAAAGGTCTTGCACATCCCTGTTCTCTGCCTAGAACACTTCCACTTAGTTTACCTTTGCACTTCCTCTTTCAGTGCTAGCACTATTTCCTTCAGAAAATTCTTAAACATTCCTCTACAGACTAGGTTAGCTCTTCCTTTTTACAGGCTCTCACAGAACCTTGGAACATCATTACAGGGCATATGTAGTTTGTAATCACGTATTTCCTCACTAGGCCATTTAATTAATGGTTTCTCCTGATAGACTGTATGCTTCATGAGAACAAGTTTGTGTTGGCTCTTTATACCCATGTCCTAGCACAATGCCTGGCACAGTGTAAGCATAATACTGGGTGAAAAATGCTAATCTAGGGCTACTAGGAAGAAGGAAATGTCAATCACAGTTCTCATGCCTTCTATAATATCCTCAGTACTCTACCCTTGACTAACACCACTTAAGAACAAACATCATTTAAATTAGTGTCATCTATTTAAGGAGAGCTATTTATTCTAGGAAAATGGACAATTATTTTCTTACTTGTAAATTCCTCTTGACATATTTTCAATGTATTTAGCTTTGTCTTGTACTCCACAGTGGTAATGGTAGGTCTTAACACAGGCTTTTATTTCACATCCAATAGTAGCACCAGGCTGACTGCAAAGCGTACATTTCTGTTTAAAGGAAAAAAAAATAATCATCATAAGCCATATTTCAGAGTTTAAGCAATCTATGTTGTTATTGCTGTTGTTGTGAGGCAAGGGCCCCTTATGTAGTTCAGGCTGGCCTCAAACTCACTATGTAGCCTAGGCTGGCCTGGAGCTCACAGAGATCCTCCTGCTTCACCCTCCTGAATGCTGGCATTACACACCCAGGTAGGCAATCTTATTTATTTTACTCATATTTCAGCCAAACATTTAAGTTTACAAAGCAAACAGCAGCCACTTTCTACTTTTAAAAAGGAATACACAAAACTCATTACACAATATATAATTGAAATAATGCTATAGTCAGACACATTTGTTTGCCTTAACAGTCTTATTCAGAATGCTGAGGCAGGAGGATCACCTGAGTCCAGGAAACCTAGTCTCAAAACAAAACTGGCGGACTGAAGGTGGACTGGCACATGCTTGTAATCTCAGCACTTGGGAGGCTGAGGGAGAACTACTGCAAGTTTGAGGCCAGTCTGTGCTACATAGTGAGTTCAAGGCCAGCCTGCACTACAAAGTGAAACTCTGTCTCTAAAACCCAAAGACTAATAATAATAATAATAATAATAATAATGATAATAATGATAATACTGCAACTTTTACCATACTTCTAAAGTCATCCCCTGATGTTTTAACTGTTTAACATTTATAAACTACCAAAATATTAAAAAAAAACACCCTAGCCAGGAGAGATCTGACATCTAAGTACTGTATAGAAAAGACATTCCTTGATAATGCCAAAACTAAAAAGAGTAATATTGCATATTTCAGTGGTTTGATTTTTTCTCTCTCCCCAAATCAGAGGTTTCCCATGCTGACTGGGCCAAAGAATGGGACAACAAAAAAGCAATCTCCTTAGACAAGGGTCACTACTAAGTAGGCAAAAGGACAAAGGGAGACTAAAGAAAACGAAATCTTTGAAAACTTCTCAGTGTGGCCTATATCAGCATCACCGAAAGAATGATCTGAGATGAAAAGGTACCTGGAGAGAAAAAGGATTTCAGTCAAATATGTTTGAAAAATACCAGGTTAACTCGACTGCTTTATTGTAGAACTCCTGATACACTTTTCTTCAGGAAGAAGTATACAGTAAAAATTTTTCAAATTTACTAAACTCAAGCTAGGGATTTAGCTCAGCAGCATAAGTGCCTGCTTTGCAAGCGCACAGTCATGAGTTTAATCCCCCCAAAAAACAAAACAAATTTACTGAACTCTAACTGCCCTTTTATTTTTGAAGCTGGCTGGGAGTATTCTTATAGACTGGCTAATTTCCTTTGATGCACACCTCAGAGAAATGCTAGGTTAGTAGTGCAGATATAAACGATAAATTGATTGAGAGAGTTGAATTACTGGGCTGTGTGTGGTGGTGCATGCTTTTAATGAGAGCCCTCAGGAGGCTGGGGCAAGAGGATCACCATTCGAAGCCAAGCCAGCCAAGTGTGTTCAAGGCCAGCCTAAACTACACAGTGAGACTCTGTCTCAAAAAACATAAACAACAGCAACAAAAAGAGTTCAACTGTTGCTTTACTCACCTAATCAAATTTTAGTGTATGATACATTTCTGCATTATACAATAAATGATTTTCCATTTTTTAGTACTACAGGTTGCTTTTTAACATTTCATTTTTAAAAAGAGCAACCGAAGTATCAATATTCTGAACTATATCAAAATAGAAAAGATAAAAAGAATGTTTACACTTTAAAATAGGAAGTTCTATGGAGGGTCATTTCCAGTGGAGGCAAAGAAGATAACTGTCTGAAAATGTTACATGAGACAGAAAGACGACTTCATAATTGAGGGAGGGATCAGACACCACCTGCATTCAAAGATCAGCCATTATGATCTATCTGCTATGCTACCACATAAAGTTGAAACTGAATCTAAGTAAGCCATTACATGCAATTCTCACTTTAAGTGGAAATATGGGCGATGGAGTGACAAATGAAATAATGCCATGAGAAATCAAATAACACTAGGATATTCTACTGAACAATTAAGTCAATTTCTTCAACAAATCAATAGCATAAGAAATATCAAAAGCAACCAAGAGAGGGTGAACGTTTTATGCTGTATTAAATAAGGGATGTGCTATATAAGAACCAAATGCAAATACAGTCATCTTTTGGAATTCAACTCAAATAAATCAAGCTTATAGTTTTGAGACAGTTAGGGAAATACAAACATGAACTAGTAACTATTAACTTACAATGTGTGTGATGTTGTTAGCTAAGAAAATGTCCAATTAAGAGATGTACACAGAAGTATGTAGAGGTGAAATACATGAAGTCTGAGTTCTGCTTTAAAATACTTCAAACAACAAAAATTAAAGGCATACATAAAATGAATGTCACAAATACTTGATAGTTGTTGGATAAAGGTGATGAGTGGATGTGTTACTAGGCTTTCTTTTTTTGATGTTTTAAAATTTCCAAAAAACATAATGAAAAATTAAGTCATTTGTAGAGATGATGATGGTTCTTAAAGAAAAGACTTTGTATTCCACAGATTTTTATATTCATAAGCTTCAAAGGAATATATAATTAAGAAAATCACCAGTATTTCTTGAAGCTTCTTAGTAGTTCAGTTATGTTTAAAAATATGAGTCTAAAACACATTTTACTAAAAACATTTACTAATGTTTTACAATAAACATTTTACGAGACATAACTGTTTATATATAATCTAAACAAATGACCCTAAAAAATTTTATTAAAACAAAAAAGAAGAATTAACAGTATTGTGTGGTTCTCAATGCTGCATTAGGTTTGTGCAACTTTTCTTTAATCGAGCTTATATAATTTAACATTTTAAACTTTATAAGCTTTTCCATATTCATATCTTCATTTATTTTATTAAAGTACTTGCAAATACCTTGAAATGAAAATCTCCTTTGTATAATTTTCTTAAGAAATGAAGTTGCATAGAAAGAGGGATAAGTTTCAGTAACATTAACATCCTTTATTATATTACATGTAAGTCAAATATATACCTTGCCCTAACATATGAACTACTTTATATTAAATTTCCGGATGACTGGATATATTTCAGATACACTATAATAGAGAATTTAGAGTAATGTTGCATAACACAAATATAAAAATCACCGACCATTCTTTTTCCTCGCTTAATCTCCTGAAGTACTGTTTTAATATCAAAATCTCCAAATTCTGCTCTTGATGTTGTTGTTAGCTGGACTGTGCCAGAGGAAAACAACTAGAGAAGAAAAATGCAGAAGTATTACCATTCAGAGTGCCCTTATAAGAGGGTAAACAAGATAACAAACACATAATATTGCTCTAATTTCAAGAGCAAAAGATAATTTTTCTTAATAATATGTATTAAGTCAAGTATTTTATTTAACATAGTCATATCTGATTAAAATACAACCCAAAATAAGAACACTGGGGGAAAAAAATACACTGAGACTGCCAGTGTATAGCCAAGACTAGATACTCTGCTTCAAACAATGAAGATTAACATTATTACTCTATTGTCTCAATGGTTTCATATTTCATAAAGCTTCAAAAACTACTTTAAATATCAAATTTTAACCAGAGAGGCAGATGAGAAACTCCTGTATTTCTGTTCAGTACAATATAAGAAACATTTTTGTACTCTAAATCAGGCCTGGATTTAAGAAAGGAAAGATAAAAACAACTTCACCATATTGGGTCAGGGATCTAGCTCAGCAGTGTAAGTGCCTGCCTGTCAAGTGTGAGCTTGTGAGTTTGAGCTTGGTACACCCCTCCAAAAAAACACTTCACCTTACTCTTATCTTCAAGGAATTTAAGGGTCTATTACGGAAAGCAGGTTCATCAAAATATAATTGTAATACAGTATGCTAATCACAATAAAAATGATATTTATTAGAGTATAAGCCTAAAATACCTTTCATAATGTATTTATGATGACGAAATTATTACATCTGTGAAGTAATTATTAGTTAAAAATGTAGGTTTGGCTGGGACAGAGCCTCAGCTCTAGATGCTTTCCTAGTATATCCAAGGTTAAACCCCCAGTATTGTAAGCAAAAAAAAAGTGGGCTTAAAAGCACATAAAAAGAACCATGCTTACCATGCACTTATAATGTGCAGCTGCCTTCTTAGCATTAAATATATGCAGTTTTCCTCTTGCCTCATTTTCTTCTTCTCCGACATGACAAAATCCACATTTAGGCCTGGTGTCACTGGGGCTGCTTCTATGTGGAGACCTGTCTCTCTGCAAATGGAAAAGAAAAAAAGTACTTTAAAAATGCTATGGGGGGGCTGAGGATTTAGCTCAGCAGCATGAGCACCTGCCTTGCAAGCGCGTGGTTTTGAGTTTGATCCCTGGTACCCCACCAAAAGAATAATTTTAAAAATGCTATCATTTTTCAGGCTTATTTAACACTTCAAATGATAAACCCTACTTATAAACACAGTTTAAATGAAATATGCATGATGTAACAAAAACTAAGAATCCAATAGTTTACTACTTACATAGGAACTACTTTCCATTTCATCTGTTCCATGAGAAGATGTGGACCTGGTATCTTCTGACAGTCCTTTAAAATTAGTTTTTCTTGGTCTTCCTTTACGACTTTTCTTTTTACTTTTTGGGGACGAGGGCTCCAATTCATGCTCATTAAAACTTTCTTCTAAATCAGCTGCTTAAAAATGAACAAAAGCTTTATATGGACCAATCATAAAAAGGAAAATTTGTTTATTAATCCACAGGACATAGGTTTTCCTTACAATTAAATCAGTAGAAATGAGGAAAAATGGTCTGTTATAATCAACATAGCAACCTAATATTTCAGATAAATGCAACAAAAATAAAATATAACATATTATAAGCATTGTAACCTTAATTATTTCCTTTGACTTGCAATTTTGTAAAAGTGAATTTTGTGATCTTGATTATGCAATTTTACTTTTCCTTTTGTTTTTCTGAAACAGGGTCTTCCTAATTAGGCCAGGTTGGCCTCTGTTTGAAACTTTCCTGTCTCAGACTCCTGAGTGCTGACATTACAGATATGTGCCACCACACTGCCTTGCTTTCAAATATTTCAGTCATTTAAAATGAAAGTAAAACCAGTTTCACAGTCACGCCGACCACATTTCAAGAGCTCTCACCCACACATGACTAGCTGCAACAGTACTCAGCTGCACAGATATGGGCTGCTTCCATCACTGGTCTAGATAATCCTTCAATCATCATGGAAACAGAATGTACAAATTCATCAAAGATGTCACCTATAATTGAACTGATCAAGTAATTAAACAAATAATAAGTAAAAAAAGAGTTCCCAACACAAGCGGGAGAAAGGAAATGTTTAAAGTTTAGTTGTGTATATTTTGATAGATTGAACAAAATTTATGTATAAACTTCAGAATTATATTTCCCAACAAATTGAAAATAATTTCTAGCACTAATGGAAGCTATTTCATTCAAATAGTAACTACAAATATTTATTAAAGTCTACTGTACATAGATAATGTATTTAAATTATCAGAAGGGTATAAAAACTGATTCTTGTCCTAGGGTCAAACCATAAATGTTCTAGGCATAGCCATCTAGCACCTTCACTGATTTTTCCTTTAATATGTTATTCGCTTAATTCTAGAGACTAATTTCACACCAAAAAAGCATCAGCTCCTCCTCTCAGATGCTTATGCCTGCCTGCCTGCCTGCCTGTTCATTGACAATGATGGGGATTGAACCATACTGAATTACAACCCCAAACCTTTTAAAAAATTTTTTAAGACAGAGTCTTGCTAAGGTGCTAAGCTGCCTATGTTGGACTCAAACTTGAGAACTTTCTGCCTTGGTCTTCCAGAGTGCTGGTATTACTTTAGAAGTGTCAGTATTTTCTTTTTTCTGTGCTAGGGATTGAACTCAGGGCCTTGTGCATGCAAGGCAAAAGCTCAACCACTGAGCCACATCCCCAGTCCTGGGACTACTTTAAATGATTTTTTTTAAATAAAAGCACATACATTACGGTGAGAAAATGGTAACTTAATTAGTATACTTAAAACGTAAAAATTCAGGGAAATTTTAAGTATTAGACTGCAAAATGACTAAGTTATATGAATGGAACTTTACCTAACTATGATGGGATTGGAGGGATTTAAGGGGAAAAGGTGTAAGTTAGTGGACAATGATTTACAGGGAATAAGATAAATCTATGTAAACAACTTCCTATGCAGACAGAGAACTAAACATAGGTGATCATAAAACTACAGAAAATTTCATATCAAAGCATATTATTCACTTTTAATATTCAAAGTGACTTTATTAAAGCTGTTAGGATTACTTATACTTGCTAAAAACTAAAAAGGCTTCAAATGAAAAATCATAGCTGAATTTTTCAATTTTTGATATATATTTGTATATATATTTCAGTTGTGTGCATAGATAGTGGTACCTCAGTTCACAAACACTTTTGTGTGTAAACAATTTGGTTCAGAAACAAAAGTGTTTGGCAGAATTTTGTTTTTCTTTGCAAACTCTGCATCAGGTGACAAACATGATCTTGGTCACCTTACCCACAGAAACAAAAATGTGGCCATCTTTTCTAAAATCATAGAACAAATTAAGTTCATGAACTGAGGTGCCACTGTGTATGTAACATTTCATTATTTATAATTAAACAATCACTAATACCATAACACTACATTAGTCTAAAAGAAATTAAAAACTGATCCTATTACCAGCACACATGACTAGTTTTCCACATGACATCTTTCTCCTAAGTATGAAATCATTCAGCAAAAATATTTTAGGAGACATTAGCAAAACTAGTAAAGTTGCACAGAATTGACTTAAATGTTCAATTTTTAAACTTCTGGAAGCTAAAAAGAATGGTGAGTCAAAAGGCAAACAGTAATCTAGAACAGTATTTCCTATACTGTGACAGAAAATTATTATTCTTATATAAATTCATATACAATTAATACCCCAGTAGAAAAATGGATCAAAGACGTGATGACAAAATTCATGAAATATATGTAGTTAATAAAACGTATTTTGAAATAATTTCTGCCATGCATGGTAGAACACACCTGTCTGACCTACTAGGGAGGCTGAGAGAGGAGGATTGAAAGTTTGGTCTGTCAAGGCAACTAACAAGATCCAGTCTCAAAATTTAAAAACTTAAAACAGCTGGGTAGCTCAGTAGTAGAGTGCTTGCTCAGCATTTGAGAGGCCATGAGTTCAATCCCCAGCACCAGAAAAATATTTAATTTTCCTAGCATCAAATTATAAATTAAATGATATTTTATCTATCAAAAGAGACTTTAAATAGAAAAATTACAACAAACCCAACAAAAATGTGATAGAAGTAAAAATATAGAAGTCCTTTCTAAATGCAGAACACAGATCATGTTTCTAAGTAAAGGGGATCAACATTAGAAAACAAATTTTGCAAATCTAATTTAACATAAAAAGAACTTTAAGGTATTTCTATAGTTTTCTGGCAAAGTAAATGGACAAGAATACAAAACAATACCTTTTCAAAAAATACCAAATATACTATATAGCAACAGCTGTTAAAATATTGGTATGAGAACAGACACATATAAGTGAAGACAGACCAAGTGGATGAGAAAGGTAAGCTTGAAAATGGATCATGAAACATTTGAGAACTAAGAATAGGATAATGCTAGATTTTCAGATGAGTGGGGAAAAGACAAGATCATACTACTGGCTATTTTTTAAAAAATGAGATTCCTTTCCTCATACTATATAAAAAATCAGAGACACTTTAAAACCTAATCACTAAACAAATGATAAATGTAACAGAATGGAGATTTTTACAAATATTCTGTAGAGTGGGATACATGTACTTATAATAGAAAACAGAGATGTGACTAAAAATAAGTAGCTTTTCTACAGCCAGATGTATCATAAATTAAGTTTAAAGATAAAATAGGGCTGGGAATACTGAGCATCACAAACAGCAGCAACAAAAAGACAAATTGTGATACTATTTGCATATGGTGGTTGAAATGCAATACCAATATCACACAGACCACCTACAATTCAACTTTACAAAGATAAACCTCCAAGAGAAAAATACAAAAAGGACAGGAACGGGTAATTCATAAGAGAAATAATGACCAAAAAATATGTACAGAAGCCCAACCTTACTAATGATAACAGAAATGAAAATTAAATGACATAATCAGAGTTGCAAAAACTAAAGACAAAATATTAAACTCAAAACTTGAAAAATCAAGACTGACACTCTTGGTGGTAGCTCAAATTGGGTAAATGATTTCTGAAGCAATGTAAAGGCACTTACTCATAATGTTAAAAGCACAGAACCTTTGACCATACACAACTTTCTAGGAGTTTCTCCCATAGTCACACAAATTAAGTACATATATATATTTTCACAAGGAAGATCATTGCAGCATGATTTGTAACCACAAAAAGTTTTATAATATATTTTTATTAATAAATCCTTAAAGGGTGACTCTATTATATTCCATGGAATAGAACTTTAAAATGACATAGATCTGTACGCTTACAGGGAAGGTCTAATTAATATATCACAGAATGAAACAAGCAAGTTGCATAACTGTGTGTGTGTGGTATAATGTCACTACATTAAAAGTGTGTAAGTGCACATATGTCTAAATTTGTATGGAAAAATAGCTCTGGGAAGATCCAAATTATTACTACTGATTTCTCCTTTTTATGGCTTATAACTAGATGCTCCTGTGAGAGCCTCACGCACTTATAAGCAGGGCTTCTGGAAGGTGACTGGATTATGGGGGCTTATAGCTGACTTGCTGTTAGGGAAAGGGGCCTGTTAGGAAATGGTGAGTCACCAGGGGCATGCTTCTTCCCTGACTCCTCACTTTGTTCTCTCTGATTTGGGGCATGCCTGACATAAGCAGATTCCCTCTATATACAAGCCCTTCCACCATGCCGCAGGACTGAAACCTCTATAAACTGTGAGCCAAACAAAATCTGTTTGCCTTTAAGTCCTGTCAAGTATTATGTCTCAGCACCAAGAAAAGTGACTAAAACACTTGTGGAGATGTGATTTGGAATGAGGAAAGAACTCTTAAAAACTCACAGTAATAGCATCTTTGTACTTTTTTTTGTAGTGCTAGGGATGAACCCAGAGCCTTATATATGCAAAGCAGGTATTCTAACCCTCAGCTATATATACCCATTCTAATTTTTCTTAAACAGTGAGTATTGTGCTACTTTTGTAATTACCAGAATTTGCAGTCTCCCATGTGGTGAAGGGGGTGGACATCTATTCATCACTGGTGAGAATATAACCTAGCACAATATATTTAGCAAGTAATATGGCAATGTGGATTACGGTCAAGAAGTCAAACTTTTTGTTAAGAAAGGGTACTTTTTGTACCCTTTGACTCACTGAGTTAAGTTATAGGAATTTACCCTAAAAAATAATTGAAACTGTACATGAAAAAGTGAACACAAAGACAAAACACCTATTTAAATTTTTCATGATTACAACCTATTACATTTCCCTTACCATTCAAAATTGTAAAAGGTTTTAACATTTAAAAACTGTATTTCCTTTTGTAATTATAAAAGAAAGTAAAAATCCCCCTGCTACCGTCTGCTTCCACCTGCTCTGCTCTTCCAGCTGGCTCCCCAGCCAAACCACCTCTCCTCTTC